CATCTAGTGTGAAAATAAATGTTTCGTTTTATGTTTAAAAATTGAATTTAAATCGATAAAATAGATTAATATTAGACGCATGATCGTTGAAAATGTATGCTGCACCATGTAATCAGATAAAAAGTAAAATTAAATAATAATAAATATATAAAAATTAAATATTTTAATAAATACATAAAAAAATTTTCAAAGTTACAGATTTTCATTAGGATATAGTAATTTTTGAGTGTTTTCAACGCAATTATTATTTGAATGCAATTTCAATCTTAGATTACAATTGTTTCATTGAGTGGATCCGTATTTAAACAAATTCCTATTGACATTCGAATGGCTCTTTTTTTTCATTGATAAAAATAAATTATTATTTATTAACCAATATATATGTATGCACATATGTACGTTCTCAACAAAAACAAAGCAATAACGTTTTGTCATCGTATTGTAGTGTAATCGAAGTAAGAGACCAGCTGGCACCGAAGAATAATTAACTCGGTGAGTTAGATGCCAGGCGAAACGTATATAATATGTAGATATGATATATATATATATATATATATATATATATATATATATATATATATACACATATACGAGTAAAAACCAGTGAGTGCAAGAGAGAGGAGTAGTATCATCTCTTTGATCGAGAGTATCACGTTACCTTATTCGGCAGATATGAACTATATATGTTTCCGGTGTATCCTAGATTTTCATTGTTATACGATATCCATTCATAAAACTATCCCGTTATCTAAAATAAATTTTAATCAACGATGAACGTTTCAATGAAATATATAGACCCTCTTTATATGTACCCGTAACAATTTCATTTTGTAAATCATAAACGATCCTTTAAAAATAAAATTTTTATGTTTGTTATATATCTTATAATATATAAAATTCGATATAATATATGGTAGAAAGTATTGTGACATAAAAGGAAGGAACAATTACATAATACATGATCGTTTAATCGTTCAATCCTCTACCAATAAATTTACACGTACCAATAAAAATTTTCATGGGGTTCAGGTTAAGCAGTCCACCTACCGAGATAACGTTATCCGGAATCTGACCGTTAGGATCACAATAACCGTCTCGAATTATATAGAGCGTACTGAATAGGAAGAACATATTTACGTTTATATATATATATATATGCATATATATATACATATATACATATATATACATATATATACATATATATACATACATACATAGAAACCAGATACATATTTACGTATGGATATACGTAAATATGACTTGGCTAACGATACTTCTCTTGTTTCCTCGTTACCGTTATCTTCCTGTAATCCTGATGGTCCATTGCACTCTCTCTCTTTCTCTTTTTCTTTCTCTCTCACTCTCTCTCTTTTTCTCTTTCTCTCTCTCTCTCTCTCTCTCTGTCTCTCTCTCGATGTTATTCAAATCGATTCATTAAGAGAATTATTTATTCACAAACAATTTTCTTAAAAGATGATAAAAACGATGTCTCGATACGATCACATATTCAATTTTCTATCATAAAAATTACATATATGTATCTAGATATATATATATATATGTAAATGTGTATGTATGCGTTACCATTAATCTTATCGAAGAGCATCTAAAACTACATTCAACTATGTAAAATGCTCGACGAAGTTTCGACGCTCGAAGAGAAATAAAATTTGCCATGTGTTCCTTGGGTCAATAGTGATAACTATATTTTCATTATTTTCTTGACGTACGACTCCTTGGTGATATGTGCCGGTCTACTTTATAATATAATTGAGCCGTTATCACAAGCCAAATCGATTAATTATACTTTTCGAATTTTTTTTTTTTTTTTTTATTAATTTAAATATCAAAGCACTAAACGAAGTTAATCGATTTGCCAAATGATTATCGGGTCATGTATTCATCGAAAAATTCAATATTTCGAATCTTAACAATCGAAAAAAAAAATAACAGATTTATTGTTTATTTTATTACAGAACTTTCTTGATTTATTCGTTAAAATTAAAATATTATTTGCTTCAACGAACGTATATATTTTTCTAAACTCGTTTATTAGCTATAATCACTATATGTGAAAAAAGAAGTTGATAAAATGAAATATATCAAATGTAATTTTTTCCTTTTTTTTTCTCTCTCTCTTTCTCTCTTTTCCTTTCGCTTTCACATGGACGTAGAAAGAAAAAGAACGAGAATAACGTCGCAAGCTCCTAATTAACTAGCAAAGGTACGATAATTACGGTAATTTCTTGTGAATAAACGTGCACGGGATGCGAGACCAAAGCAAACCCGGTGTCTGACTGCGGAGCCATTAACGGTGCTCATGTACTTTTGAAAAACGTGTACGTTTCCTGCCGCGAGAATGACGAGGATTTCGTGCCCTGGATTAAATTTTTTTCAGATAAGCTTTGTGACTTTTTCCCTCTAACACTGTTTCTACTTTCTCTCTCTCTCTCTCTCTCTCTCTCTCTCTCTCTCTCTCTCTCTCTCTTCTCTATGTACCTTTTTCTTTTTTTTTTTTTATATAAGTATATCCAATATATACAGAGGCACATAACGAAAACGTCGAGAATAATGTAGTTTCAACTTTACTACTCCCAGTAAGTACAAAATTACGTAAATCGAGAAATGAATCGTAGAATCAATCGGAGAAACAATTTTTGAATGGTAGAGATAAAAGAGTTTCGTTAGATATATATATATATAGATATCGTGAAGGAAGAACCGTTGGATTTAAAGTTATGTGAAATCGAAAAGAAAGAAAAGAAAAAGAAAGAAAGGAAAAAAGAAAGAAAGGAAGAAAGAAAGAAAGGAAAAAAGAAAGAAAGGAAGAAAGAAAGAAAGAAAGAAAGAAAGAAAGAATTCGTAAGTCACGAAAGTGGCGGGAAAATCAAATTTTTCGAATTCGAAGAGTTTGATGTCTATATCAATAGTGCTTTGTATGACGAATGAGCGGGGCTTTTCAATAAGAAATGTATGTTCCTCATCGACGCGCGAAAGTGTCTTCTAGAGTCTAAATCTGTGCCAAGAGGAAGAAGGAATAAAAGAAAAAGAAGTAAAAGAAGAAGAAAAGGAAGTAAAGGAAGGGCAGACCAAGAAAGACCCACCAGAGATGCTTTGAATAATGTATTTCAATATGCCGCTTCTTCGAGATGTCCGACGGGGAAGTCGGTCGCGAGGAAGAGCATGGCTTTCGGAAGAAGATGAGGAGGTAAGGGAGAAGGTGGAGAAGAACGAGTATCATAAAACTTTTGCATTTTGCTGCACACATCGCACTTTCGGTATCCCGCTATGCTATCGCAAAAGTCTCATATTTTTTCGGCGACATATATACATACATACATACATATAGTTGGTAACAGGAATATTCCAACACCTTTTTTTAAATTTTTAGAAAAATTATTTTTAAAATGGCAATAACTGAAGTACTTGAAATTTTTTTTTTTTTACGGACAACAAGATACCAGTACATTTCATTAAACACAAGAGTAATATACAAGATAATATAAAAAATTACATGAATTACGATTGGATTTTCGGATTAATCTATTATTTAAAAAGATGTTCTTGATGATACATATAAAATGATTATCTACAAATATTTATGTAATATTAATTATCATAATTTACATATCATTATTATAATTTATGTAATATTAATTGAATTTAATTATTCATATAATATTTATGTAGTTTATGAATGTTCTTTGCAAGATACACATGCGATGTACAAGATAACATGCAAATAAATATAAATGGTCGATCTTTTTATATTGTATCGCTTTATTAAAATAGAAAAATTAAAAATTATCTCATTTTCTTGTACTTCCTCACAGCACGCTAATTTTTTTATATTTTCTCATACGTTCATCTGGTCAAAAAAAAAAAAAAGAAAAAAAAAAGAAAAACTAATTAGATTCGGAAAAGTATCGGAATGTTTCTGTGACTGACTGTACCTGCCTTTGTATCTCATGGGCGAATAAACGAGTCTCTTTTCTCACCTTGTTTATTCGTGCTAAATATATTTTCCGTGAATTAATGGGGATGTTATTTAAACGACGTCCTGTCGATTCACTTTTATTTCCGGTCCTTAAACCATTAAGTATAGAACAAAATGTAATTTTTATATGCGTGATCGTATAATTTGTAAAATTTAAAAATCACCTTGAGAGAAAGAAAAATTCTTATTGCAACGAGATGTTTTCTTTTTTGCATAACGTGTTACATTGCATTTATTCCTTTCTCATAATAAAACCTTTTATTTCGTTTAATAAAATATCCTTTTTTTCAACGCTTACTTCGTATCCTATCGTAAGACCGTTACGTTTGCATTTACTTACATACGTACATAAATATTTTTCTTTTATTTTAAAGAAAATACTTTTAAATACTTTTAAAACTTTCCTCCTCGACGAATCTCTCTCTCCCTCTCTCTCTCTTTCTCTCTCTCTTTATAATTAATTGAATCAAGTATTAAATAATCTAACGTAAAATAAATTGGTAACAAATGATGATGAAACAAAGGAGATAGAACGACTTAGTTTAATGGAAAATAAAATTCTAATAACAATAACAATAACATTAACATTAAAATTAAAACGACTCGAGCGAGATCAGACACGAGACATAGAATAATAAAAAAAAAACATGAAACAAAAAATCGTAAGATTAGATCAAGAAAGACGTGGTACCGGAGTTTGTAGATACGTACCTGTTCGAAGATCAACAAGTAGTTCGGCGCTGTGATGATATTGGTGGGGGTAACGGTTCTGTTGCTCGTTCGCTCGGGGTTTGGTGCCACGAAGGTACGAGGGGAAACATCCTGGAGAGGGACTGGGAGTGGTGGGGAGAACTCGAGGCTGGTACGCAGAGCGTGAGTGAGCGAGAGAGAGAGAGAGAGAAAGAAAGAGAGAGAGAGAGAGAGAGAAAGAAAGAGAGAGAGAGAGAGAGAGAAAGAAAGAGAGAGAGAGAGAGAGAGAGAGGCTGGCAAGAAGCAGGCGGCGGGCACAGGGTAAGGCGAGTGGTTCGCGTCCGCGTCGTCGTTCAGTCGGGTAGGCGCGTTTGTACGGCGTTGGTCTTCGGCTTTAGGGATTCTCGCCGCGTATGTTGAACATACATCGAACCGTACGTGTGACGTGTGTTTCTGTTTTAAAAAAGAAGAAGAGAAAGAGGAAAAAGGTGGAAAAGAAAGAAGGATTAAGGAGGGAGGGTAATCATGAAATCAGTGCGTGCAGATGATGGTGTACTTTAGTGTTTGTTCGAACGCGGTGAACTCTGCGATAATACGGTAACGAACCTGTGTGTTTTTTTGTCATTACACGAGGAAACGAAGAAGAAAAGGAAGAAAAAGAAGAAGACGACGACACAACGACGACGACCATCACCAACAGGACCGGGACCAGGACCAGAACGACGTAACGAAAACATCACCGAAATCTACAAGGACGCCTATCAAGGAAAGTTTATAGTGAGAACTTAACGGGAAAGGAAAATATAAAGCAATGTCGAAAACGAAGAGGAAAACGTACAACACTGCCTCACGTAGTTTTGGGACCTGGGCGAGGCCCTGGCATCTTTTACCAGTTATTCTTCTCTTCTGCGGAGCTCTCGGTGAGTGAAGCATATCTTTCGAGGTTGCACGTATCTCAGTCTATCTCTTTTTTTCTTTCATCTTCTTTCTTTCTCCCCCCTCCCCCTCCAACTCTCCTCTCTCTTTTTCTTTCTGTCTTACCACTCACCGTTCGTACGTTCTACGCGTGGTTTCCATTGGTCGAGAGCGCATGCGCCGAGAACCGTCGTGCTTGGAAAGCCTGCGATCGGCATCTCTTACCAGGCGGCGGTCAGGCGAAGGAGGGGAAGACTCCGGCCTTAGGCCCATTCGCAGGGTCCTGTGTGTGATTCGTCATTGTTCGAAGGAACTTACCGAGGCGACGCTCTTTTCTAAGAATTCCTCTCTTCTGATTCAGCCAATCTTTTTTTTTTTTGTGATAGGATATTACTATCCTGTAGAGAATAAACGATACTAGATTACCTTTTGTTTTGGATGTATATGAAAAAAAGTATTCCAGAAAAGTTCCTTCGTATATTTACAATCGAAACAAATGCTGACCTTATATTGTCACATTTCTATTCGTAGATGTAGTGTATATGTGTATCTGTGTTGGTTAATGGTCCGATGTCATTAGCAAAGGTTACAAAACAGTGTTCGTCGTTAGAAAATATCTACGAGAAGAATGGTGCATAATTTTCGTTCTAATCTAACGACGATATCTTTTCCTAAAATAAACGTAAATGTAATTTATATGACACTATAGGAATGAATATTTAAAAGTATCCCTGCGATATATTTATCGGATGTTTTTCATCGATTGAAAAGGCATCATTAGCATGTTGAAAGAGAGAGAGAGAGAGAAACAACGAAGTTCTCTTCGAGCGTTAAGAACAAAGATCTTTACCGACCGAGACGTAGGTTGGTTGGTAGAGATAGGTAGGTAAAAGCGGATGGCAGGTATATTCCAGCACGATTCGATGGTAGGACTCGCCATTGGTTGATTCCGTCACGCGTGACCAATAGAAAATAATCTCTATCTTTTTCTCTCTTAGTTTTTCTCTTTCTATTTCTTTTTCTCTCTTGTATGCAGCTGTAAGCATAGATTGAAATATGATCCCGAGATCCATTTTCTATCCATAAGCATAATGTGTAATCTCTCGTTTCTTCGATAATATAATCTAACGTAAAGTTGATCATCGATAAGTCATGTAAAAATCGAAATAAAACGATATCTTCGATTTCTTGAAAAATTTACCATTAAAATATACCATTTTTGATCGCGATAGTTTCTTTTTTCTTTTTACGCGGATGTTATAATCAAACATATCTTTTGTTTTTCTAATGATTCTGCGAATGAATATCAATACTCATAAAAATGAGGCTTGTTATACTTTACGTTACATTTACATAAAAAAAAAAGAAAAAAAAGAAAAAAAAAGTGAAAATGTTTCTCTTACACAATAATCCGGTCGATAGATGATAGATTTAGTTATTTTGTTTGAGTGGGAACGTGAGATATACGTAAGATTAGTTTATCTGTTATGTTCGTTTACTTTCATGGACCTTTTCCACAAGCTACAAAGTTCCTTTTACAGGAGACGAACTTTCAAAATGTCGTCGCTATTATGCTGTGCTATCGAAAAAGCTGCTTACACTGTAAGTAAACGTCGACTTTCTGAGAGCTATGAAACTGTACATTGTTTCGATGAAATAGTTAAGAAAGAAATAACTTTTCTGTAAGAGGATTCTTTATTAAACTTTACCTTTATTCAATGACACATTTAACGATACAGTAGTTACTTTGTTATATAACGTGACATTAAATCCAATCGATTTTCGAATAATTTATATATTTCAGAATAAGGAGATATCGCATGAAGTGTTGGTTTACTATCGTTCGAACGAAACTCATAACCATTTTTCGATATCGTTTCGAAGAAGTATGGATGGCTTTTCAATCGATGTGATCATTAAAACGAATCGATTTATCTAATCTTTTTTTTTTTTTATCGAAACATTTACATACAAATGTTTATTAATTATTTTATTTTCTTATAATAAAATCAAGTTATTTCTATTTATATTAATCGTACGTATTATATTGCTCGTTTTCGAGAAACCAATCGAAAGAGAAACAAAAAAATGGCGGTCATTATTATAAAGGAGTACGATACTTTTCGAATTGTTAAATTTCATCGTACAATCGTTCGTTCCTATTTATATAAAAATAATATGGTAAATTTGATGGCTTCTTTTTGGTGATATCCGACAAGAAATGTCGATAAACCTCTTATTCTTGATCTGGCTCAAGTGTAGGAGGGTCTTTGCTCGCGGATTGATATGAATTAATTGCTTTGAAATCGTTCTCGCGAAACGGTCGATTGTTCGTTCGTTTCACGTTTATTGGCTTATATCGTGTGAGTTTGTCCTTTAAAAGCTTCCATGTATCGAACGTGTCCACTTTTCTCTCTCTCTTTTACGATTTAGCGCCGTAATAAAAAGCGAAGCTTTTTCATTGAAAAGTGATTCAATTTGAACGTGTGCGGTTAAAGAAGAAAAACGAAACTGGCCAATTAATAGTAGAATCAAGTTATCAACTATTTCTCAATATTTTAAACGACGATCATCTATGCAAAAGAAAGAAAGGAAGTATGAAAGTGTGGATTGATGTATATATATATAGATTTAATAAAAGATCAAATAAAATGATTAATCAAATAATTGGAAATAGAAATAAGTCGATACAATACATAAGACCGTGGATAAAAGTGATCACGGAGAAATCAGTTCGTGCGATAAGTAGTGATTTTAAATGGAAATAAGAGAGAAGGGGGGGGGGGAGGGAGAGTAGAGAATTGGGTAAGTTCATAAATAACCGCGAGAAGCTTTTCAACGGTTTAGAGAGTGGACCGCCGAGTGGTGTTACTTTTATTAGCGTTAATTGACCCAAGATCCGTCTGGACGTCTCCATTGAGCCAATCAGGGTCGCGTTTCCATTTCACGTTGGCATCATTCGAGAGGCCTTCGACCGGTCCTCGATCTTCCTCTTTTCTCTTTGGTAATCTTAAACCACTGGCGTGCGAATTTGGAATGGTCGGTTGGCCCATCTACCATACCAGACACAACCCAAACCTTAACCTTTTTATCTGTCCCTCTCCCTTCAACTCTTCCTCCCTCCCTCTCTCGCTCTCTCTCTCTCTCTCTTTCTCTCTCTTTTTCTTTCTCTTTCTTTCTGTTAGGACGAAAACTTGAAAGAAGAAATTCTTTAGATTTCGTGACGATCCTTTTTATTTTTTCGTTCTGCCCTTTTCTTCTTCTCGTTTTTTTTTCTCGTAGCAACGTGTCCCCTTTTATACCTACAACCTTTCGCATTCTTCTACAACGTTGCGACGCAAAGATGGTTAAAACGAAAAAGATTTACTTTTACCAAGACTCCCTCTCCCCCTCACTCTCTCTCTCTCTCTCTCTCTCTCTCTCTCTCTCTCTCTCTCTCAGTTCTCCTTTTTCTTCTTCTTCTTTCATCTTTTTGCTCTCTTTCTTCCTCTTCGTCGTCTTCTGAATTCTTGAATTCTTACGATTCGAGAACCCAATATACACATACACACAAGCATGCACGTACATACACACGCATATACCTCTCACTCTCCTCTCTATCTATCGATCTATCTATCTATCTATTTATCTATTTGATATATAGTAGTTGTGTAGGGTCGTCGAACGACGACGAGTAACCAGGCGGCGAACCACTAAAGTAGCGTAAAATCCCTCATGGATTATGTGAAATTCCTTGGGAACTCGAACGATTCGGGAATCTTGTTAACGCGTCTTCCCTCTACCAGATGTCGTGTAGGACATGAAAATAGGGACGCCCTTATAAAATGGGCGGGAAAATTACAAAATGTGTGAGAAATCTAAGTTATATTCGGTTTTTTTCTTTTTCATTTTCTTCCTCCTACAAATCTGATTATCGAAAATTTTTGAGTCTTATTTGTTAACCTTCTTTTGCAGTTCGCTGATCCCTTCTCTCTTTCTCTCTCTCTCGCTCTCTCTCTTTCTCTCTCTCTCTCTCTCTCTTTCTCTCTCTCTCTCTCTCTCTTTCTCTCTCTCTCTCTCTCTTTCTCTCTCTTACTATTCAATGTGCCATCGGCCTTCCAGGTTTACAGTTCTCTTGATTCTACGCGCGTACTGAATAATCTCATCACGTAGTAATCCATTTTCTCTACGTTTTCGCGATCCGTATTCGCGAAGAAATACGCGAAAAAAGACTAGAAAGAAAAAAAAGAGGGGAAAGAGAGAGAGAGAGAGAAAGAAAGACTGAGTGAGAGAGAAGGAGGGAAGGGAGAGAGGGAGAAAGAAAAAAGAAAGAAAGAAACATAAAGAAAGAGGAGTTCGTTCGAAAGGAGCGAACCTCGTTAAAAGTTCATCGATGCAATTCGTTAAAAGGTTTTCCCGCTAATTCCTATTGATCTAGCCAGTCGTAAAACTTGGGGAAAAGACGATCTTTCGAAAAGTATATCGTAAATTTATGAAAATAATCAACTTGAGGGAACTATTGAAATCGTCTCGTTGTTTCTGGTTTGCAAAACCCTTATTTGAGATTATTTCTGGTAATATTATAATATTATTAGGTTTTTCTTTTTTTTTTCTCATTCTTCTTTTCTTTTTCTTTTTTCTTCTTGGTTTTCTTTCTTTTTTTTTCTTTTCTTTTTCTTTTCTTTTTTTTTTCTGCGAACCTTTCTCTCTCGTTCACAATTCACAGCGTATGTATGAGCATGTGTACGAGAGCGTGTTATTATTTACAGTCCATTATCTGTGGACATACATTGGATCGTTCGAATAACAAACTAAATTAATGAACGTTTTTCCGAAAGAAGAAAGGTAGAAACGATCGAGAAATCAATGGAACGATCGATCGATCGATCGATCGATAGGTAGGTAGATATGTCTATTCAAAAGTCGTTCCGAGTTTTAAGAATTTAATGCCGAGTAAGGCGGGATCCACATCACTTGAAGTTTATGCTATAAAACGGCTCACAAAATGTACGTAATTGAGCTTGAA